ATACGTACGAGGGGGGAAAAAAAATAAAAATCTAAGTTTCAGTACTCTGATATTGACCAACATTTATTTTGATTGTATATTCTTTTGTAACAGTCAAAACTCAAGCTGTTAATTACACAAATCATTCATTCAGGGAACAGAAGGAGATGCCAAACAGCTCGTGTAACTAAAGAGCTCGGTACAAATCTCACTCAGCCCAGGACTTACGTGCTGAAAATCATCGATAAATCTGAACAGCGAACAAATGAAGGGATGTTATGATCTGGTCTTGTAAATGGGCAGAGAGGTAAAAATTTGTGCAATAAATTCTTAATTGGGATTTTTTTTTGAGCGGCTCTAATCGATACCATGTCCCACTTAGAAAAATGTAAATAAATTTCTCATGACATTTCCATTAGAACCGTTACATTCAAAATAAATTATCTGCACCGATCTTTGGCTCTTGACACAAATAGTGTGGATAGGTTGCCATCATCAATTCCTGCAGGTTTTTTGTTCTCCACTCCTCTCTCTACATATTGCTCAAGGAAAAAACATGTGACCATTAGAACAGCAATAAATATGCCACAAGGTGTGTAGTTATTGACAGAATGAAGGAGAAGGGTATCGTTAGCAGCTCCCTGGAAGGTGCATAAAAGCACACACTGCTCTGAAGGAAGAGATGTTTACCTCACCACAATATATAAAACAGTCTCACTCTATTTTGTATATTTTAATACTGGAAACAGAAGCATTCTGTGAAAGAACTGTTTGTGCAGTGTTGTCTCACGCTGTGTCTCTAAACTGTGGTCTCAAAACCATTCAGTGTGTGTGTACACAATTACTGTTCTGCAAAGATTATTGCTATGTACACAGTTTCGTCAAATAAATGTAAAAAAATAACATATTTAATGACTTTGTCCTTTCTATAAAATAGAAAACTGCTTAATTCGTCTGTTGTGTTCTGTGTTCCTCCATTCAGCATTTTGTGACAGGTGGGTGAAATCAAATGCACGGGAATTTAGTTTCAATCAGGTAATATTGCTCTACTGTTATATAGCTTTTGTCTTAAAATGTAGATCTTTTTATCTCTATATATTTTTATTTATACGTAGGCTGAGGGCAATGCATGCAGGTTTTATTCCTCTTAACCTATATACACAACAGAACAGAATAATTTTTATTTTTCAGGTGTAATATAAAAAAATCTCTGACTTTTCTGGTTTGGTTTCTTTGCAGGTTGGTCATTTCACTTGTGCCAGGCACTGTGGAGTGGCTGCACCCAGAGGTTCTGGCTGTGCCCAACCAGCTCACTGTGGTGTTGTGGACTGGTGTTTTGATTTGTATAAGTCATTTGGAATGTGGAAATGTGGATTTTGGGTCATTTGGAATGTGGAAATTTGGAATTTGGCCATGTGGAAATGTGTAAGGTTAATTTTGGTCTCCCTAGGAAAGGTGTTCTGGTTGCACTTCCTAGGATTTTTGGCTGCTACAAATTGCAGTTGAATGTGGTGCCTGGAAGGGACTGTGATTTTGCTTTTGCTCAAGCAACACAAGTTGTCAAGAGTGTAGTTTGCTTCCCCAGCAGCTCTGGGGGGATGTCTGATGCCCTCCACCTCCACAGGGACCCCAGCTCTGCTCCCCCAGCCTTGTACAGCTCAACCCCAAAGCAGGTACGTGAGAAATGCCCCCCTGCACAAACCAAACAGCAGCTTAAGCAGTGGGTCAGTTCCAGTTAATCCCCTCTGTGAAAGTTTTAAGCAGGATTTAATTAGCCTTTAAATCTGGACATTTCGACCTGCATTAATAAACCTGCGTGGGACGGGGCACTTGGAAAGCAAAACAGGGAGAAAAACTGTTAATGCTGACATCACTGTGTTACATCTTTAACAAGACACCTTTATATCCTCACAGCACAAGTGGAACAGCTGGGACTTCGGGAGTAACGTCCTTAACGAGCACTCACTATCCCATTTGTCAGGCCTGTGCTTCCCTGCATCCGGAAAAGCAGCTGTTATCGTGCAAAATCGCTGTGCTTGGAGCAGCACATCAGTGCAAATCAGTCACCAGATGAGATCCCGAGCAGGACTGTCTGCTCGCCCTGCCCTCCGAGGTGAGCAGTGCCTGGTGGCCTTGGGGCTTTGCAGATCTGGGCACCTCCAGCAATATCCTCTGGTTGTTGTGTGTCAGGTTGGCCTGGATGGTTCCCTGGTGCTGAGAGCTGAGCGCAGGACGTAGGAGCGGCCTGAAATGTGGGTCTGAGCAGCCTCACTAGGCTGGAAGAGCCTGGAAGTCTGGGT